TGAATTTGGCCCGACTATATGGCATTATATTGACAGAACTATACAGGAATGGAACATTTTAAGTTCTTACGTTCTCACTTTTTTTCCTTGGCACTATAGCCCCAGTGGGCCTAGGCCTACCTCCATGAACTTCTCCGTTCACTTCGGTTCTTCTAGATCTTAGACATTCGGTAGGACTCCTTGGGCGGGTGATCATCTCGTCACAAGGCTTTACTTGTACACAAACACAGGAAAACACACACACACAAACCAAACATCCATGCCCTGAGTGGTATTCGAACCCACGATCTCAGTTTCCAAGCGAGCGAAGACAGTACATGCCTTAGACTGCTCGGCTACCGTGACTGGCAGTGTATAAGAATAATATATAAGAACTCAATACGTACCTCACAGGAAACAGATCCGAACCCACGATCCCGGCTTCCGAGCGAGCGAAGACAGTACATGCCTTAGACCGCTAGGCTACCGTGACCGGCACGATCTCAGTTTGGACAGTGCAACCAATAGAACAGTAAGAACATACAACCGGATATAATCTGCGCGTAAAAACGTACCATTGCAGGCCTTAACTATTAATATTTGAATGCCCCCAGTTCTTGAGAAATGGTTACCGAAACATTGAAATGAAATTAAATTATGTAAGATTTGAGGCTTTCACGGCGGTGAAGACGGCGGTCTTCTGGGATTTCAGATTAAATTATGTCAGTAGGGACTGGGATTGGGTTAACTGAAATTATTTTAATATTCACACGTAAATTTATGTGAAGGATTTAAAGTAGATACAGAAATATTAATTATAATCAGGGCCCGGATTTTGATGACATGTCATCTTTTTTCCTTGTATCCTATGCGATGCTCTTAAATACATAAATCTCGGATATGAGCTGCTGGTTACAGATATGTAAATTTTATAGGTAATTTTTTGTCATTTTTTATATTTTTAGGTTTAAGATCATTTTTTTCATTTTGGGGGTAATTTTTTTTTAATTTTAAGAGTATTTCTTGTCATTTTTGTCTATTTTAGGGAATTTTTCTTCACATATTTTCTGAAATGTGAATAATATGGAAGTGAATTGTTCTTTCTCTTTCTCCTTTAGGTAATTTTCTGGATTTTTTCGGTCATTTTATAAGTCATTTTTTAAATATTTTCAGGTCATCAAAATCCGGGCCCTGGTTATAATCAATAAAATATAAGTATTCGCTATGAAAGAGAAATGAGCTAATGATGTATGGAATTAAACGCAACATCGTTCGAAGTACATGACTTCCAAAATGTGCTGTTGTATGCAACAATAGCTTATTGTTACATTTTTACAATTAAATTATAAAAAATCAGAAATTTATAAGAATATTAACGTTTCAAGTTAAATATTCTTGTTTATAATTCCCTTACACCTAGAAGATAAATTATGTGAGGCTAAATGTAATTTAACACATTTTATCACAATGTTTGGGGGTGTGTGAATATAAATCGAGTATGGATTGGCAGCTGGGTTTATTGTTCACTTGTATACGCCACTCGGAACTATAACGCTATTGCTGATTTCCACACTGTCTTCTCAGCCCGCTGTCATTAGTCAGTGCTTGGTGACAGCTGTCATCAATAGCTATTCGTCTGCAATATTTTCGAAGTTTTGGAGACTGGATTCTGTTTCCGTCTTCAATTGGGACCAATCGATAGAGCTGTTCTGTCTCACTTTACCTGAAGAAGGAGGCGGAATCCAGTCTCCGAAACGCTGTGTTTTTAAATAGAAACAGATGCTGTTTTTAAATATGAAACAACAATAGTTAATGTCCAATAAGTTAATATGTGTACATATCTAATTTTAATAATTAGCATGTATAATATCTAATATCTTATTAAATTAAGAACTAATTATATGGCCTAGATTATCAAAGCCCGAATAAAGAAATCGGTTACTTTAAAACCCTTTCATTTGGCCGATTCGAAGACAGAGTGATACAATCTCGCTTCATCTCTTTATTTCGACATCTGTTTCACTGCTGGATTTTAGTTTTTCGCGACGGTGACTACGAAGATACGATTTCTGGATTGTAAAGCCTATTTTGCTGGTTTTATATTTGACTTACACTTCAATCCTGAAGATAGGAGCGATATGTTCATCCGAAACTTGGAGTTGCCTCAAAACTACAGACGCTGTTTCGCCGAAGACCGTACTTATTACAACAGTGTTGTTGTCAAATTCCTTCTTTGATTCCGAATGGTTTATTTTCAAGAAGTTTCTCAAAACTGTCCACGTGTCTCTCGTTTCATACCTTCAAGCTACATGTTCAGCCCATTGTAATGCACGTGACTTAATTACTCTGATACACCATGAATATAATATTCAATAAAGTTACCCAGCATTTAATATGTGCAAACTCTGAACTCATACACACACAAAAAAGCAGTTTCTTAACAAAGCTAATGGCTTTATATGTAACATCTCTTTTACAGAGGAAGAGTTCATTAATTGAGGTCGTGAAGCGAAACATTAATCTGTATTTTTATTTGCTACAGTGTTCAAAATGTCATCATTTAAAGTAGATCTTTATTTTGGTTGGATATTTTCGTACCCGCCATCTTGTAAAATATGGCTCTATAGTCTCCCACACGTCTTCATGGCCTAGTGCTTAATTAGTTAAACACAGGGACAACTTTACGTTTACCTTTACCATAATGTAAAAGTGCAAGGGCCAGTGCCCTCAGAAACTTCCGCAGTCTTTACTTTCCTGTCAGCTATGGTGACATGAAACTTTTCGGTGTTAAATATTGATATGACCTCTGACTTCCGAAGGTCATCCAGTTGACCAAAATGCCAGAATCGATACACACGCAGAATATATATCATCTGACAAGGTAATGTCTCATTTCCGAAACCAACTACCGGAGATTCATTGTCCTGTTCCTACAGTAATTAGCTATGAATTGTAAGGACATGATGAAGGCAGTGGTGGGGAGCTATTAATGTTACACAGTGGAGAAGCCCAGTCGTGACTGCTACCACAGATGGACATGATCCCAGTGCTGGTACCAGCTGATCATGTGGTTACTGCACCGGTAATGAACTGGGGCGTGGTGGACTCACAGCAGGTGTGCCACAACTTAGGCACACCCCACTGAACCTATACGAGTATGTTTGCTGTGACTGTTTTAACAGTGACTCAAATATTAGCCATATCATTCAATAGCGGTATGTTTCTTTGGCTCATACACTATTACATAAATTGAAAGATTCTATAAAAACGCGATATTTTCAATTTTAAAATGAAATTTTTGCACAGATGGGACACCACTATTTCATTAGACTTTTTTTTCTCAATCAATCTAGTGAAATCCCCGCTTGTAAAATCAACTATTCCGAGAAATATTTGAACAATATACTCTCATTTACGTTCTCATTTACATCTGTGTTTTCTAAGTAATCTCTTTCATGAGTTAAAATAACCAAAATTTGTAGGCAGTTGCAGTCCTTTACTCTTCATATCGCGACTTTACATCTGCCTTCATGTAATGTATCTCCGCAATTCAAGACCTTTGACAGTATCTTAAAATAGGCCACGGCCGCGTTCTTTCATGTTTTTCACAGCCCATCATTTACATACCTTATCTTAGTATACGTTAAGTAACCTCAGCATGAGCGGCCTCCGCAGTCTAGAGGTAACGTTCCCACCTTATGACTCGTAGAACGCGGGTTCAAATACCCGGCGGAGGTCGTCGAATTTTTAAGGGCGGGAAAATTCAGGGAACAAGTCCTCCGGGAGGGACTTTAAGCCGTGGGTCCCGTGTCGTAGCTTTACGGCACGTAAGAGAACCTCATATCTCCAAAGGAGGTCACTGAGCCAAATTACGGACGTTTCCCGCCCAACAGCAGTCTCTAATACCTCTGGTAGATGGGGGAAGCATTATAGATACCTCTCATCTAGTAGAGCCGGTCTCGCTGGCTGGGCGGGATTGATGATAAGCACCAGTTCCGGTAGGATATAGAGACTGGTAGAAATCATAGAGGGAAGCACAATGGACCAAGACAGGTCTAAGTGCATGGGGAAACTCACCCTCTCCAATAACTAACTAACTAACCGCAGCATGCGTCGGTACATCGTAAAGTACCCGAATAATCAAGCCACAGCAAGCGTACTGCGTGAATAATCTATGTTACTTCAATTGTCTATCTTCTCCTTAACACTTTGCTCCCATTTCCCGTCTATTTGTGTTTTTCCTTTAGATCGATGAACCTAATTTGACACCCCAATAACACACATAAATCGATGGAGCTGAGTCGTTGCGAAAGTTATATTCGTTGAACTAGTCAAGAAATTACCCCCTACCGTTTTGTGGAACCTGAAGGTTCATTACCGCGCTAACAAGAGCCCGCAACTTTATCTGTGTTAACGCGGTTGAATCTACTATATATCTTCACACCCTGCTTCTCTAAGATCCACTTCTGTATTATCTCCCAATTTCAGTCTAAACCTCCATGTGGTTTCCTTCCTGTAAGTTTTTCAGCAAAAATGTTTCATGCATTTTCATCTCTCCCATGTGTGTTACCTATCTCTCACAATCCAATTTTCCTTGATTGTATCACCCCCAAAGCTCCTTTTCTACGAAATTTTGTGTTGCGTCGTAGCAAACCACGAATTTAAATCGAGCTGTTTCCGCACACCCACACGACTTATCAGTGGTTCGCTAAGATCCGTCAGAAAAAGTGACACACCACAAGAGATCATGGAATAGAAGCCTATTTTTTAGCAAAACCACATCCCAGTAGTCTTTTTACCAACAGGATCAGACACATGGCCTTACTGAATCCATTCTCTTCTTGATTTAATCAAGAATACTGTTTTAAGTCATTATTGCCATTGTAAGTGTACGAATATGTAGTAGTGGTCATGACACTTTTGTATTACTATTTTGCTTTCAATAATAAACATAAGGATTCTACGTTCCACGAAATGCCCCTTAATATGCAATATTTGTTTGCAGAGACTTGCAGCCCGAGGCCGAAGCCAGTTTGTATACACGATGTATGTGTGCGCGAAGTTGCCTGGTCCAAGCCATATAACTGTGCTGACTGGAAGTAGCGTCGCGACGCCCGTGCATTTCAGTCGGCTCACAGCCTCCGACCATAGCGGACGTCTTCACCTCGACGTCGATAATAAGCCGGCGAAAGGTTACGTTAAGTTAACGACAAGTGCTTGTTTTGGAAGTTCTCATTGGCAGGTGGAGCCTCTACTATATGAAAGAAATAGCAAGGTAAGAGGAAAGTGACAGATATATTCAATTTACACATTTGTGAAGTGATGTTTTTTATGTTTTGTATGCATATTAGGCGTTTTATGGCCCGCTTCATTTCTTTGAATACTGTAGGAAGGAACGAGACAATTTAGGCATTAATTCTTTTTACGATTTGGTCGTAAATTTCGAGAAGGCAGTAAAAAAAGAAGTGTGTTTTTATTGTAAAACACGATTTCCTGAGTCATAAAATAGGCACCAAAGAATATTTTATTTTCTGCAACATTAGAATTAAAATCATTGTGTTGTGTGAGTAATTTGACTTGTAGTGTTCATGTTGTTCTGTGTCTCTTCAAATAGATTTTAATTTATAAGATATAGTAAAAAAAATTGAAATTATGAGTATGTGATGAGTTTTAAATTATTCTCTGCTTAGCAATATCGTATCCTGATGCACGTAAGTGGCGTCCCTTTTAGGACTAATCTTACATGTGTAGGTCCTACTATAGCCGCTATTTTCCGATCTTTACGATTTGATTTTGATCAGGATATGAAATATCTCAAGAAACAATGTAGACGGTTTCGGTAGTATTTGAAGAACACATTCACTGAGGCCCAGTAATTTAAGCCATATGGCCCTATATCGTATTGTGCCTTTTAGTCTCCTCGTACGAAACATAAGTCACAGTTTATTAATTCTGTTTCGTTACCGCATACTCGTACTTTCGAAAATTATGACCGTTTAGTGTTTTTCGATATAATTTATATTTAACAGGGTATGTTAACGATATTCAGTTACGCTTAAAGGCCACAAATATTAATTTATATTTCTATTCGTGCAGAATATTAATGCTCTATTTCAACGTTAGTAATTTCATTCATTTCCAAATCAATAAATCGTGCAGGATGAATAAGCGTAATATATTAGGCAAGATGAACATGAATGCTTTATTCATTTCTGTAGGACTTCACGCAGTGTAGTTCACTTATCTCAGCCAGATGTCACATAATGCATTTCACTTACATCAGTTGAGCTATGGCGCGGCCTATCCAGATCTTAATACATATGTGTCGATTTCGTTGTAATGGAAGCCCATACATAAGACGTAAACAAAAAAAATCCTGTTCATAATATATTTTTCCTTGGCACTGCAGCCCCAGTGGGCCTAAGCCTACCTCCATGAACTTCTCCGTTCACTTCGGTTTTTCTAGATCTTACACATTCGGTAGGACTCCTTGGGCGGGTGATCAGCTCGTCGCAAGGCCTCTACCTGTACACAAACACAGAAAAACGCACGCACACAAACTAAACATCCGTGCCCTGAGTGGGGTTCGAACCCACGATCCCGGTTTCCAAACGAGCGAAGACAGTACATGCCTTAGATCGCTCGGCTGCCGTGACGGGCGTTCATAATATTTAATAATATTAATTTATATTAAATTATCTAATGGAGCCGGAGTAGCGCAGTCGGTATAGCGCCTGGCTACGGGCTGGGCGACCGGGAGGTCGGAGTTCGAGTCCCGGTAATGTCAACTTTTTTCTTCTCTCGCTGTCGTCCATACCAGCTCTGGGGTCTACCCAACCTGCTATCCAATGGGTAACAAAGGCTCTTTCCCCGGGGTTAAAGCGGCCGGGGCGTGAAGCTGATCATTCATCTCCAGTTAATGCTAAGGTCAAGAAAATGTGGATCTATACATCCATTCCCCATACGTCTTCATGGCATAATGATTAATTAATTAAGCACAAGAACAACTTTTAACTCTCTAATATAACTTGCATCGTCCAATCCAGTTGCTCTGCCTAATGATTTGCCTTTAGGGGGTTTACATTTCGACCGTGGTTCATTCTAGTGTCTATCACTGGACACACGAAAACTTTCTCCGCATTGTAACCCTGAAGTTAGTTACCACATTTTGCACACCGTTACAATGTACTAATTTTACATCAGTTGTCTAAGTCCATTTTCTTTACAGATAACGAGCTAGTTACATCATTAGAAAGTTCTATCAATTTCTGTGGTCGTCAAATATAAGGTTATCTTTGTCTTACACTGGATTGAAGGCTTCCAATCCCGCTGGAGGAGCTAATGCTTGTCCGATTTTCTTTGTATTGTCCAATATAGGCGAGTCTTTGTGATGAAGTGATCCTGCACATGTAGATTCGCACAGTATATCCTAGACTAGAGGTGACCAGTGCTCGAATTGGGCCCATTATTTAAGATGAGCGGTAAATTCATGATTTCCCATGCATTAGTAAAGGTTTCTGGATGTCGTGTAACTGGTACTGTATACAGAATTCTGCCTATACAAGTATTATTCTTTCGCGCGTATTAATTGCTGATTCCATGTGGAATTAGATAAGCACTCATTGGAATATCTGTTTGGCAATTGTTACATATCATCACTTAGTGATCAAAAGATGAAAAGATTGGCAGGACATTTAGCACGAATGGGAGATAGGAATGTATTTAGGATATTGGTGGGAAAACCAGAAGGAAAGAGGCCTCTAGGAAGACCAAGACGTAGGCGGGTCGATAATATTAAAATGGATCTCAGAAAGATAGAATGGGGTGATCTGGACTGAATTGCTCTGGCTCAGGATAGGGACCAGTGGAGGGCTCTTGTGAACACGGCAATGAACTTTCGGGTTCCATAAAATGCTCTGAAGTTTTCGAGTAGCTGCACAACTGGCGGCTTCTCAAGAAAGGCTCAGTCCGAAATCCCTTATGTAGCTCCAACAGTGTAATGTTCTGGGTAGCTCTACTTGATTTTGTGTTACTTAACACTGAAAAAAGTTGACAAATTAGCGCTTAGATTATTTTCTGAGCAGAATTCCAAATTTTGAATCTCCTTTATACAACCATTATATAACCATTACCGAGCAATTGCTACAATAGCATTCCCATAACAATAGCCGACAATGAGTGTAGCAATTGTTTCTTGCAGATGATGTCTGAAGTGAAATCCGTTGCTTAGTGACGAAGCGAAATGACATTCTGGAACTTGTATTAAAGTAGCATAATCACACTAATTTGTGCTTCGGTGCTTCTAATGGTTGCGGAGGTGGTATGCATGAGGTGAACATGCCTTCATAGTTTATTAATCGGCATGTTTACGGTAGTCAACTTACACAGGAGTGCACTTAAATATGTGTAATTAATTTTCCAGTAATCCTATTAAGTACTAGCGAAAGAAAGTAGGAATCTATAACAACTTCCCATCTAATCGTCTGTAAAGTGAATAGCAATGTAGTTGCTTGTAAGGGTAGATGAAATACAGGGTGTACAACAGTTACATTTCCTTTTTATCTCAATGCTGTTACCGTTCACAGTGAAGTGAACGCTTCCGGTAGCTTCTGCATTTCAGTCTGTCTGTACAAGGAGTACAAACTGCACGTATCTGACGCACCGCTACAGTTCATGCTCTTATACTAGTGTGAACCACTCGGTTACGTATGTCTCCGACGTTTTGTGTCGGAACCTCCCTTCTGGGCCAAAGAATCAACCCCAGTTACACGTCAATATTCGTCAGTGTTGTGTTCTAAAACGTGATAATTCTTAGATAGAGGTAGTTGAAATAGCGAGTGTTAATGAACAATTTAATTACTTGGTGTGATTACATAAAATATATTATGGCATGTAGACCCGTTACTGAGATACGCAGATATACAACAGCTGTTACTAAGTAAAGGCTTCGCAAGCACGTGTATTTGTACGGCAACAGTTGGAAACAGCAACAGAGGAACAGTGTTTTCTGTGCGGTTCGTGTCAAGATGTTATAAGCAGGACAGTTAGTTCAAATGGAGCATTGCTGTAGTTGAGGCCTCCAGTTGTATGTGAATTGTGGTTGTGATCTGGTAAGGAAACCAGCAAACCTCTTGACCGTTTGCTGAAGAGAAATATGCTGAAGGTCAGTTTACTCTTTGAGGCGTAAAATTCATCTAAATATTATTTTAAAATTTAGTTGGTATCTCACAATAGCACACAGCATCTCTGTTACGAAGATATACCAGCTATCTCTTTCTGGATATCGTCCCAGTTTATAATGAGAACCATACATGATCAGGTCAGGTTAAGTGGTACATACAATACGGAGTGGGCTCTGGAGGCATAGAAGTAATGGACTTCATGTAGCAGAGCCCTTCTTGAGAAGATTCGAGGCTGGTACCTCAAGTTTAGACCGTTACCGCCATACCAACCTTCTTCTTATCGTGAAGTAGTTACTGCTCGTCATTATTTCACGATGTTTGTAGTCAGGTTCTTCTTCTTAACCCATGTCTGACTTCCCGAAACAGAATCTACGTTTATCATCATCCATGTCTGTTTGAACTGCGTGCCTCTCTTTAACTGACCGTGCAGAAATGCGGATCTCTGGAAGTGTCCTAAATGAAGCACTTGATTCCTCCAATTGATATTCACTTCCAAGAAAGCATATCAACGGAAGAGAAATTACGTTGAATTCAGTATATTCAGTGCCAGGTGGAAGTTACGAAGCACCGTCATGTAGATTGCATTACAGAATCTCTTTTGAAAGAGACAGAGAGAGAAAGACTTCTCTAGTTTATACATAGTCTTGAGAACTTACTCAATTAATATCCTGGTAATCGTATCCACCGAATGAAAGTTTTGCGTACAGGCAATCTTGATCGATTTGGTTACCACAGCAACTGATGTCTGAACGAAACCGGTATACACGCTAATAAGTGAACTTAGCTGTTCATTTATTGCTGTTCTCTTCGAAACTAATTTACGGTCTCTTCCACGTCAATTATAATTGAATTTAAATGCAAGCAAGATTTCTCAGCAAGTAATTCGATCATGTTATTGTTGTGTAACAAATATTCCACACCAGCCAGAGAGACGCTGCCGATTTTATTATAATCCAACTGAAGTCCATTCTTCACATATGTGTCTATGTGTATATGTATTCCTAAAAATCCCTTAGTCACTAAATCAATCTTTATCTCTGGGGTAGGTGATAGGCAAGACAGATCGATTTGTATAATGTATACAGCGATCTGT